TCATGCAATCTGCCTTTGGGCATAATCTAAAATTTATCAAAATCTTTCAATTCATGCAATCTGCCTTTGGACATAATCCAAAATTCATCAAAATTTCTCTCTTTATGCGATTTGCCTTTAGACATAATAAAAAGTCCATCTAAAATTCAGCAAAATCTTTCATTTCGTGTGATCTGCCTTTGGGCATAGTTTGAAATTCATCCAAAATTCATCAAAATTTCTCGCTTCGTGCAATTCTTCCTTGGGCATAATCCAAAGTCTATCAAAGTTCATCAAAATCTCTCACTTTAAGCGGCTCACCTTGAATCATAAGCCTTAGATCAATAAAAAAATATTCACTTGGCATAATCCAAAACTTTTTCGCTCGTACATAATCATAAGCAATAAAAAAATCTTTCAATTCAAGCACATTCCTAAAATCAATTATAAAGTTCAAAAATCTTTTGCTTCCAAAATGCAATAATATGTTCAGAAGTATAGAAAGTTTGATAACTTGTAATCAGACTACTTTGCCCTCAAACCACCATCATGGAATCCAAACCGTTACTGGGGTCATTAGACTTAGTTCAATACCATACACTTGCACCACATAGTTTTCATCATTTGATTTATTGATGTTTTAACGCATAAGCTACTCTCACCTGAAGAGCTCTTGTCACCTATTAGAGCGACAATATGCGCTATAGCAATCACAGGACCTCTGTCAAGTTTTCAAAACAACTTTCTAATATGTTTTCAACATCAAACATCAAAAATCAAAATCCATATTAACCTACTAAACTTCCATCAAATATTAAAATCAAATAAATGATTTGAACGTCGAAACCCGTTAAACTTTCATTAAATAACAAGTTCAAAATCCATATAAGCTCAAAATCTATAAGCTTTCATTAAATTACTAATTTGAACTCCAACATCAACTATTAAATTCAGAATCCATATAAACCCAATAATCTTTTATCAGATATTAAAAATCAAAATCTATAAGCTTTCATCAAACTACTAATTTGAACTTCAACATCAACTATAAAAAATCTAAATTCATATAAAATCAAAATCTAAAAGTTTTATCAAATTACTAATGTGAACTTCAACATCAACTATCAAAAATCAAACCCATATAAACTCAATAATCCTTATTGAATCAAAATCCATAGGCTTTCATCAAATAACAAATTTGAACTTCATAGCATTAACTTCCAAAAACCAAAATCCATAAAATCTCAATCAGCTTCATCAAATAGAAAATTTCTAATACTAGCTATTTCTGGGATGGCACCACTGTGTTCTTCATGTGTTTGTTTGACAGCTATAGTTGCCTTTCGGAGCTTGGGATACTATACCTTCCAAGCAAAGGCCTTGCACTACATCAACTTCAGCATTGGTTGAAATTTTAGCCACGAAATCCCCTCGTCCAACCTCTTGGCCTCACAAAAACCTCTATGTTATTCTTTTTCTTTGTTGTTCAACAGCTTGCTACCTCTAACAAAGAGAAGCAATTGTCATCTCCTAATTTTTTCTTAGTCCTTTCACACTACTTTTTTTAACCCTCCTTTTAGACCCCAAAACTTGGATTCACAACTAAAACAAATTGAGACTTTACAACGCCAAAAATCCCTCTTTTGACACAATCCATAGGATAAATGAAAACCTTGAGATCAACATCAATGTTCAATCAAGCATAGCTTACAAACTTAGAAAACTATAAATTAGTCACACATCCACCGTTCATCACGCCAACTTCCTTCCTAATCCACTGCCTCAAGATCACTATGATACAATCAACAAGTGAATTACACCGCAAGTTTACAATGATCAATCTCAAAAGCGCCAAAATTCCATTCTAATGGCCCTACACAATTAGATTTAAAAAACCTATATTAACCATTTCCTTCTCATATCAGAACCATCCACTTGGCTCCTCACCTTAATCTATGCTTACCCACCAAATTTTAGCTCAAGTTTCCCCCGTTTGACCGACAATCAAGCCCAAGTCCTATTTCAGTAAACCTCATTGATTAAACCTTATCATACATCATCCCAACTTCATTTGGTCAATCAAACCTCAACACTGTGTTTGGAAACCCAAAAACACTGGCATGTTTCACAACAAAACTCCTCCATTTGACCTTTAAAAAAAGTGAGATTCCATTTCAGATCATCTCGTAAATTGATAAACCATTGACCCAAACTAAATCTATCAATCTACACTTCTAATCAAAGATCCATCACTTCCATCAGATTCAAGACGTTTAAAAGTGTCTACCCACCAAATTTTATCCCAAAGTTCCTTCGTTTGACCATTTATCAAACAAAGATTCTATTTTAGTAAATCTCGTTGATTCAAACTTGTCAGCCATAGATCTCCATCATCCTGACCCTATTAGGCCAATCAAATCTCACCACTATGTTCAGAGAACCAAAAAACCCCAACACGTCAAATTTTACGTCCTAATTCACTCATTTGTTGTCAAACTAGGAATATGTCATTTTAATATACCAAATTAAATTGCCACTTCATCTATCCTGACTTGAAACCTCAAAAGAGTAACGGATGATGTCAAATCCATTCTTGACCTATTCAAACACCTAGACCAATGAAACCAAAAAGCGCACCATCCATCCCAGATTCTCATTCAAGCTTCTTTGAACTTGTTCCCACTGCTGGGAAACTTTCATCAAGATTGTACATGAGAAGTAAGTCTCTCATTCTATTGCTTTTTTCTAAGTTTAAATCCGTAGATCTCTATTTTTAGTTTAGTTCTGGGTTGCTTGAAGTCCATAAACCATGGAAAACTTGCATTTCCAGTTTCATCCAGATTGAGAAAAAGAAGTAGAGAGGCGAAGGTCTTAGGAAAATCAGTACCTAAGACCTGATAATATCACCTCAAATTAATTCTAGGTGAAACTATGAGTATTTTCGCCTGATTCTAGGAGCTATGAGCAACCCATTACATTGTTGTTTCCCATTAGAAATTGAGCCTGAACAATTCCCGTATTGGGATGCCACAGCAACTTGGAGAGAATGGTGCCTAACACCTTCTCTCTCCTGATCCTTGGGATCCAAAATCTCTCGGTTAGGTGCCTTTCCTAGCAAAGAATAGAGTCATTATCATAAACATAAATCGATTTTTTGAATCTGAAAATGATGGTCCATTTTCTTTATAAAATGGGTGGTGGCTCAATTTCTTTGAGTCAACCATAAGCTTCTCAGAATTCACAATCCTTAACCCCTATGTTCTAGGCTAAACCCAACTTTGGTTGTTAGCTAGATATGGTTAGGACTAAGGGTGTCAATTGGACTAGATTTGGTTCAATCCGATCCAATCCATTATGAGCCCATTACAATTGAATCAGGTCCAATCCAATCCGACGAATGCTATGGACCATTTGGACTAGTCCAATTCAATGTTTGGACTATCCAATCTGTTCAAATTGACTTTAATTTAGATTGGTTCCAATCTAAACTTGGTCCTTTGACACCCATATTCTTATCTTCTGTTCAAATTGACCAACTCCAATCCAATCCAATAAATACTTTGAACCATTAAGTATAGATTGGTCCAATTCAATATATCTTATTGGTTTGCCCAATTGGTCCAACTTGATTTTATTTTGATTTGGATGGGTCCGACGCAAAATCAATCCATTCACACTCTAGTTAGGACCTTATGAACCAATTTTACACACTAACTCAATTAGATATGCAAAATGAAGAATAAAATCAATTACTCGCCATGGCTTTGGTTTTAAAATAAAAGAACCCATTAAAATTATGGGCATCTTCCTCCTTGGAGTTAAACCAATACCAAGCCCAAGAGGATTGGCCTCAATATACTCAACTCTAATATGCAGTTAATCACATAACTAATCATGATCAATCACTTACCTCTGGTCTGGTCGGAAATTTCAAGGCCTAACCATCATCAAGCCCGAAAATCCAGGCCCAATTGGTTAAATAGCCTGAGTTGGATTTCAGGCTAGTTTCTTTTTTTTTTTTTGGAATTAGGACCACCTACACGTAGGGGTGAGCAAAAAAAAAAAATCCAGAAAATCGAATCAACCAAAAAAATCGACCAAATTCGGTTTCGATTATATATTATATATTATATTTTTTATATAATTTATTATATAATATATATTATATATTATATTTTTTTTTTATATTTTAAAATTGAATAAACCTTACTTGGAGCACGCCTATCCACCTTTCCCCCCTTTCCCACTTTCCCCTTCTTCAAAACCTAAACCAGTAACCCTTGGCTTTCTCAGTCTCTCTTGTCTCGTCTTCCCCAATCCCCAGTTTTTCCTCCGACGCCGGTCGTCCTCCGACCGACACCCTCTCACTTAGTGGCCAGTTTTCCCCTTGCTTCAGTGCTTTCTTGTGTCTCTTTCTCTCTCTGTCACTTGTCATTTCCATCTTTGCCACACCAACCATCAAGCAAAAAGCACGCAGCAACACCGGGTGCCGCCTCGTTGGCAAGCACCAAGCTAGCTTAGCCAGACTTAACTACAACAACCAACCAAGACGTCAGTCGCCACCTCGACTCTGCCAAGACTGCCACCTCCCAGGTTCTGTCTCTGTCTCTCTCATCTCTCATCTCCATGGCTCTGACGCTCTGCCACCTCTCAGTCTTTCACTTTAAGCGACAATAACCACCAACCAGTCTGACACTGACAAATCATCGACCACCATTTCGCCCTCGGAAGCTCGCCCCTTCAGTTTTTTTTTTTTTTCTCCCATTTTTTCTTAATTTTAAGTGCAAAAAAACCAAAAAACCGAAACCTAACCGAGTTACTTTGGCCACGGCGTGAGCACCCCAAACCTACACGCACATGACCTAGAGTTCACTTTGGCCACGGCGACTCTCATTCAGGTCCAGTTGGGTTCGGAATTTCGGATTCATCCTGACCCGATAGGTGTACCACGGACGAGTCACAACAGTTTAACAAAGTTGGTATAATCATATTAGGGTTGTTATATGTGGTATAAAATCTCCACGAATTAGGGTTTTTTCATTTTCTCTGCTCCTCTCGCTCTTCCGAACCCTAGTAGAGGAAACTCTGAGAGAGAGACACACACAGAGAAAACAATGGCGGAGACTCTGGTTCTCAAGGGAACAATGAAGGGTCACTCCGACATGGTGACCGCCATCGCCACTCCTATCGATAATTCTGACATGATCGTTTCTTCTTCCCGTGACAAGTCCGTCCTTGTCTGGCATCTTACCAAGGAAGAGGGAACATACGGTGTCCCCCGCCGCCGTCTCACCGGTCATTCTCACTTCGTGCAGGATGTCGTGCTCTCCTCCGACGGTCAGTTCGCTCTCTCCGGCTCTTGGGACAGCGAGCTCCGTCTCTGGGACCTTAATACCGGCGTTACCACTCGCCGCTTCGTTGGTCACACCAAGGATGTCCTCTCCGTTGCCTTCTCTATCGACAATCGCCAGATCGTCTCTGCTTCTCGGGACCGCACTATCAAGCTTTGGAATACACTTGGAGAATGCAAGTACACAATTCAGGATGCTGACAGCCACACCAACTGGGTGAGCTGCGTCAGGTTCAGCCCCAATACATTCCAACCCACTATTGTCTCTGGATCTTGGGATCGGACCGTGAAGGTTTGGAACCTTACCAATTGCAAATTGCGCTGCACGTTGACCGGTCACGGAGGTTACGTGAACACTGTTGCAGTTTCGCCCGATGGCTCTCTTTGTGCCAGTGGTGGCAAAGACGGTGTGACTCTGCTTTGGGACTTGGCAGAAGGAAAGAGGCTTTACTCGCTTGATGCAGGGGCTATTATTCATTCTCTGTGTTTCAGCCCGAACAGGTATTGGCTCTGTGCGGCTACACAGGATAGTGTTAAGATTTGGGATCTGGAGAGCAAGAGCATTGTTCAGGACTTGAAGCCCGAGGCAACCCAAGGGAAGAATCAGGTATGTTTTGGCTGTTGTTTTTTGGATATAACTGTCTGACTTATCTGTTTCGTATTCGTTATTGGTCTTTGCTTGTTCGCTTTTTGGATCCATTATGAAGATTTACAAGAGTTAACTGTGTGTGTATTAATTTACGTAATTAACTGATAAATATCTACCTTATTTGTTCTTTCCGTTTTTATAATTTTATTTGATTGTTTGTTATGATGGTGATCTTATAAGAAACGAGTCTGTCATATCGGTGTTCATGGCTTATCGTTAAGCGTTTATAGTGATTCTTAAATCGTATGCAGTTGCTTTGTTGAATTTGTTTGTTCATCTGGGTTGGTGAGATTTATAGTTTAGACACCTTGTTAGTACATCCATTTGTCAATTCTGTTCGTGTGCATTGGTCAAGACTTATCTTTGGTGTTTAAAGTTAAACCATATGTTGGTGTTTATATAACTATATTTTCCAATGTAAGAATCCCGTTGCATTGCCTTGAGTTGTTAAGATTGGCCCGGATGGATAGTTATCAAAAAAAAAGATTGGCCCGGATGGATTTTGTTTTAGGTGTTGACATTGTTCAAATGCTCTTAGAATGTTAATGGTGATACGCATAGAAGTTCTGTGTATGAGTGCTTTGTTTGATCCAACTAAAGCTATGTGTTGCAAGTGTTTGTGATGTGGGAGTAGTGTTGTTTTGTTGCTCTTTCATTATCTCGAGCTGCTGGATCTAACATAATTATAAGAATTTGTTGCTCATCTGGTAAATCCAAATTAAATCATAGTGGTTTCAAGCCATTACATTCTCCTTTATTGACATGAAATTGTTAAGGCTCCATTTATTTGAAGTGCAATTTTATTTGCACTGGTACAAATGCATGAGAGTGCAAATAAAAAAATGCAAATTCTGGTTCACTTGTTTTTTGGTTTCATCATATTGCTTCATCCTGTATTTCATTTCATTTGTAATGCAAACAAACAAAAAAGTCAAAAGCTGAAACACAAATAAATTAGAATATGTAGTTATGTACTCAAAGCATTTGCACTCTCATAGTTTTGCACCAGAGCAAATGAAATTGCACAGCAAACAACAAACAAGCCTAAATAATTATGTGTGTACGTGGGACATAATTTTAGGGTCGTACTCCAGCTTGCTCATTGAGCATGTGCAACTTCAATATGGCCATGTACGTAAACATAGTTCTTTATTTTAGGTAGACAGTTTTTTCTTGTGCTGCACAATATCTTATATTCTACAGATGCTAGGTTAACATTTTATTAAACTAAGGAAAGGAACTCTGTTTTTTTGGATGTCTGAATGTGTGAATGGAATCAATTGTTTAGATTTGGAAGTTAAGTTTATAGTTGATAGAATTTTACTATTATTCAATAATGAGTAATGGTTTTCATGAAATCATTCTGTTTGAATGTTTGAAGGCATTTCCAATCAGTTGCATATAAAGCCATAAAAACCAAGAACAAAACTGACAAGGAAAATAATGTATGCTTTATTAATCAAAAAATAATGTATGCTTTGGATCAAAACCATTAGATGCTCAATGTGATTTACTAGTTCATTTAGTATAGTTTTTTCTATAAAATGAATCCTCCAGTTTTAACTTCAGAATTTCCATAATTCCATTCTGTAAAATTTCCAATGCCATTTAGTCATTTCTTTATGTGGTTTACAGCTATAAAAGCAAACGGTGGTGTTTCATCAACAGGCTCCACCAGTATTGTCACAGAACTAAATAGGGGACATACTTATATTAGTGAAATTTTTATTTCAAAGTTTTGTGGGTTTTTACTTGTAGTTCATTTAGACATGCTTTTGAATGGGATTTGTCACTTGGTAGCTAAGTATGCTTTAAACTAAATTAGTTTTCTTATCAGTAACATTTAGTTTATTAATTTAGAATAACTTTGTACCCAAGATTTAGGAAACAGAGCAAGCAGTATCAATTTGGCAATCCAATGAATCTGTTAGTACTTAGTACTAACTCAGATATAGAATTTACATCAATCATCAAATTGGACCATGCTAGTGATTGGCCTAATTTTCTAGATCTCCATTACCCATTATGTTCTTTTGTGGTACTGCTATTGACACGGTAAAACCATTATAGGTATCCTGTCTTCCATGAGAATTAGAGAGAATTTGATGCCTAATTCTCATTTGGGATATTATCAATGCAAACTGTGGATATCTGGCTGTGATACTGCTGCCTAAGTGGCTCTTGATTATGTTTTTTGGCAATTGCTCTCAATTATGTGATATCCTAGATCTTAAGGACTTGAAACCTGATGTCCTGCAACTTTTCTGTGGATTATACTTGCCTAGTTTGTTCGATTTCAATAAAATCTTGCTGCATTATGTATTTCCTTTGACATACAGTCTAAATGTGTTGGCATTGTTGTCTAAAATGTTTGTCTAATAATACTGGATCAGACGACGTAATTTCTTTTTGTTTTTTGCAGATGTTGTACTGTACAAGCTTAAGTTGGAGCTCCGATGGAAGCACACTTTTCACTGGGTACACAGATGGTGCAATTAGGGTTTGGGGAATTGGTCGTTATTAGAAGCTCCTCGTGATAAAGCTTTTGAGAGTCGTTATTTTTCTAGTATTTCAAGGCATTTTTTTTGTTTGAACATGTAAGCAGGATCAGTCTGTTTGATATTTTTTACTTTTAAGTTCAAATTTGACTAGATGATGGATGGCTTTTGGGCCTTCCTTTTTTGGTTTTAATTTTAAGAAATATCTTTTTTTAAGTTACCTCCTGTTACTGCTATAATATAATCTAATGGGGTTTTTAAAGAATGGATTCAAGTCTTTCATTTTGGTAAATTAAGAAATGCTTCAAGTCGGTTAACAAATATAGGAACCCAGCCAAATGCATGTAGGATGTGTTCATCTGTGAATAGAGATTGTGAGGATTGATGTGGGACTAACTTGTTGCTGTTTTTGTGCTCCCATTTGTCCGGAAATAATAAATAAATTAATCTTACTATTGCGGTGTTCCTCTGTTACTGGAATACGTAGAAAATAAAACTTGTGTTAAAAAATGCAAGTTCATTCTCTAAACTCTATTTTGTCAAATGCTAAATTGCTAATATTATGTTATATTTAATCATCATGTTTGTCTTTCAAAAAAAAAATTTGTCTTCCAATCAATCTTTTTTGCATTGACTGGTTTATTACATTATTTATTATGTTACATGCAGAGTTGCAGTATAAACTAAGGGCTTGTTCGTTTTCTTTTAACTCTCATTTCTTAAGAGGAATTTTTTAATTTTAATAGAAAATTGGTTATTCTTTACCTCTTATCTCTTAAAGTGTAATTATACAATTTTTTGTTTTCCAATGATACTCTTCAAAAAGACAAACAAAAGCTTTCATATATGGGGTCAAAATGGATATTTGATAGTTTTTAGAATTCATAATAACATTCTCTGCATTTAGAGTTAAGAGGAAAAAAAAAGTTCACCAATATCAATATACCTCTTAATGTAATTGCTACACTTTGGTATGGTTTTTGTTTATCGGATAAATGGTGCCATGTTCGCAAAGTTGTTTTTCATATTAGTAATTACTCGGCCTGAAATTAAAAATGAGATCTAGATTTGCTACCAAATTTCTAAGAGGATACTGCTAACAAAGACTTTTGAACATGATCTGAAGCCACACATCTCATACATTATTGTTGTCTCAAAAGTCAATCAGATTTTGGATCTCCTACTCACAAGAATATAATCCACCCCTACCCACTAAACACTACCTTGGTACCTCCGTGTAGAGTTGTAAATCAGGCCGAGACGCTCGCAGCCCGGCATAAACGCTAATGGGCCGTGTTAGGCCGGCACGGAGGTCCGTGCCGTGTTGGACTGGGGGTTCGAGGCCCATGGGCCGGTACACACGGCACAATAGCACATGCCGTGTCGCCCGTGGCCCACATGCCGGCACGG